TTTCAATGTTTAGGGGTTTTCAGAAAAACAAACAAACAAAAAACACATAATGGGACGAGTATTTTACTCCTTTACATAATTTGTTTTTTGTTTTTTTGTTGTTGTTATTTTGTTTTGTTTTTTGTTTGTTTTTTTAAAAAGGGATCAGATATCAAGCCGCGTGGTTTTGAACACATATGTGAAGCTCTTTGTCACCCCACGTACAACCTCACAGCACTGTCTGTGGTATTTCCGACGTGAGTTACAGCCGATATATGAGGGCTTATTCTACGTGCCGACCTCTGCGGTGTGCCAGGAGCAAGGGGTGCTCCGTTTTTGCGCTGTCTGTGCAACCTTTGCGTCCTGCCAATGCCGCCAACATTCCCAAGGACACAGTGGGTGGCTCCCTGCTGTCACAGCCACCAGAAGCGAAACCTGCCCCGGGCCCCCCCCCCGAGGCTGGGCCGCCAGGGAGCGAAGCTCTGTGGTGGAGCTTCCGCCCTGGCGTCTGGAGCCAGAAGGAAAAAGAAAAAAAAAAGAAAAAAAGAAAACCACCACCACAAGCGGGGGGAGCGGCCCCACCGCCGCCCGGACCATGCTCTACAGAACGTGTAAGTGAGGGGGGCTCGGGCAGTCCCAGCGCATCTCCTCCTTGAACGCAGGGTGAGACTAGGTTGAAACCCGTGTTTTGTTCATCCCTGCAGGGCTCTGGTCCCGTTCAGCTGGGGGAAAGTGGAGACTCATGTTGTGATTTAACAGTTAACGGATAGAATGAGGAAACGCGGCATGCTGACGCCGCCATGGCAAGGGAAAGGCTTAGTAAATGAAGTAACTTGATAAATAAAGAAATCAGGCGGTTTCGCAGGGGGAAGCAGCGATCGCGTTAGAGATCAGCTACCCAGGAAATGCATCTGCTGCCCTTGTACAAGCTGGGAAATGAAACTCAGTCAGGTCGCTTCATCTGGCTGCTAGGCTGGGGGGGGGGGGGGAAGCCTGAGAGAAATCCCAGAGGCTGAGAAGCCAGACCAGCCCCGCGGTCCAGCTTGGCTGGCAGCAGGGAGCGAGGACCTGGCCCAGGGCTGCTCTGTCTGTGACCGTTTTGAAAATAAAGCACAATTTGCCTCACAGGGCACAAGGGTTTCATTTAGCCCTTTATGCCCAGCTTGTCCCGGCTGCTGGTCCTGAAAGCTGTGCTCCATTTCTGGCTGTGCTCTTTGAATGTCACGGGCCTGGCTGTGGGAGGGGACTTGGTGGCCGGATCCTGCCAAGGCCAGGCCCCAGCACGGGTGATGTGTGTGTGGGACGCGGCCGTGTCCCCCCCCAGCGCCCCGCCGCCTGCCTCCTGTACCTGCCTTCCCGAAGCAACCTTCGTGGCGGTAAGGTTACAGCAGGCAGACGTGCCACGGGCATGAGGAGAAGCTTTATTTAACCCTTGATGCTTGCATCATTATCTGAGCCTGCAGGACAAAAATATCTCCAGGCAATGTGTCAGTGTACGCTGCGGCACTCCTGAGCGGTTGCTTTGCACTTCCATTCCACAGCGCTCAGAAACACTGCCTGCTAAATACCATTTGTGTCAGAGGTTTCAGTCTGTGTCACAGTAAGGCTACCAGGTTTTCAGGTCTGTGGTTAAGACGCTGGTAGTGACTCCAGGGACATTTTTGAGAAGAGCACAAACTGCAGTGAACTCACAGCTGTATAACACAGTCATAAAAGCAAACTTTCAGCGCGCCATATGCCACTGCTTCTCAGTGCTCAGCAATGTCTATTGCTGTAATATTTTAATATACAGATGAAATTCGCTTAAAAATATGATGAGAGGAGCTATAAAAATGACAATTTCCTTTCCACAAGGTGCCTGTTTCTATTACTACATCAGGTTGCCACAAATGACTTTGATATGGGCATGATCAAGGTCTCTGTGTGCAATAATAATAAGTTAAAAACCTGTTTTCATGCTGTTCAGAAAATCTGGATTTCTGAGGTTGAACTGAATAAACTCAGGATGCTTATAGTCTTCCCAAGGGCAGGCACCATAACCATGTCACATTATTTTGTAATACTAAAGCTATTCCAAGGAGGTGTTTTTTTTTTATTATTTTTTTATTATTTTTTTTTCTCCTATATTATTACATTTTTTGAAGATAGGGAAGCTGCTTCAATTTGAAGTATGGAGATATAGACCGAGACATTTTCAGGAGTAAATGTGGGGTCTTGGGTATCTCATTTGCTAATTAAGGTGGTTGTAACAGGCTGGCTTGCAAAAGCTCAGGGTTGCTGGCCAGGGGCATGTCCTGTGTTAGCCCCACAGAGACGAGGCTCAGAGGGTGCAGGTGTTGGATGTGATGCCGGGTGGGAGCCTCGCCCCCGGCGTGCTCCACCAGGGTGGAAATGCCAACCTGGCAGGGAAGGCCAGGCGCTGAGAACGAAGGCGAGAATATTGCATAGCTCAGAGGTCTGGAGGAAGACTTTTAGGACTGCCTGACCCTGCTAGGACAGCCCGGTATCCATCCCCACGCAGCTTCTCAGGGCTGGTGCCGGGTATGGCCCTTCCTCCCGCACACCGCCAAGTGGCAGCACTCGCAAACTTCCAGCAAAGGCTCTGTTTTACTCCACCTCTCCCCCTCCCTGGCCAGGCCTAGGCTTAGCTGAGCCGTCTCCTGCAGGGACGTGCAGCCGGCTGTGAGGAAAGTCCTCCCCGGTTCCTTTCGCAGCCCCTGCCTGCGCTGTGGGCCTGAGCAGGCCGGGCATCAGGCTTCAGCACTGCAAGCTCGGTGGTGGAGCTGGGCCAAAATCTCACTGAAGGAGCTGTGATCTGAACCCACAGAGGTCTCCAACGGGTCGGACCCAGCGCTGTTACAGGCCGACCCCTGTTTGCAGCCAGCACCGAGTGAGCGCAGCTCTCCTGACCCTGCCGGGGTCGCAGCTGGGACCCACAGGCCCATGCACTACACTGGCCTCATTTTTAGACTTCACACAGCAAGTTAAAATCTGCTGCTGACACATGCACCAAATACAGCTTCCAGTCAGTCTGGGAGTCATGTAAACCTATATATATGTATATAAACCCAGACTTTCCATAGAGCATGCAGCCAGGCACTTCTGGAAGAAGCAAGGGACCAGCAGGCTGTGGAAGAGCAATGCAGGAAAGATCTGGATTCTTCCTGGGTCCCATCTAAATGTTCAGGTGTCTGTTCCCAAGACACTGCATCACCTAAAGCAAGGGCTGTATGTTTTATCATCTGTCCAACTGCTGTAACTTCCTCACCCATTAGGGTTTAAATGTCACAGACACACAACTTCTTATGGGCTAACCCTTCAGCTGTTCTTGTCTCTGTGGCCACCCATGCAAAGGTTTTGTTTCCAGTGCAAGGGTGTGTTGTGCTGCTCGGGAACTTGCTGTGTAACAGAACCAAGTTGTCTTAGTGAAAAGTGTCTTCTAAAGCCAGTGCCTGAAGATGCCCAGGGCTGTGCAGGGCAGCAGTGTGTTAACTGGGTGCCGTGTTTTCAATGTGAGTCATAATTATAAATCATGCCCTATCTTTACCATAGGAGAAAACAAACTTTTCTGTTAGAAAAATACCAGGTATCACAGTTAAGAAACAAACAAACAAAACAAAACAAAAAAAAAACAACAGTAAAAACATATTCCTTCATCACAATTGTCATTGGTCCCAGCCAACATGGGTTCATGAGGGGTAGGTCCTGCCTAACAAATTTGATTTCCTTTTATGACAAGATCACCTGTCTAGTCGATCAAGGGAAACCAGCTGATGTGATCTTTTTGGACTTCAGCAAGACTTTTGACACAGTTTCCCATAGGATTCTACTGGACAAAATGTCCAGCCTACAACTTAACAAAAACATCATACGATGGGTGAGCAATTGGCTGACGGGCAGGGCTCAAAGGGTTGTGGTAAATGGGGCCACATGAGTCTGGCGGACGGTCACTAGTGGGGTCCCTCAAGGCTCCATTTTAGGGCCAGTCCTCTTCAATGTCTTTATAAATGATTTGGATGTAGGACTAGAAGGTGTTCTGAGCAAATTTGCCAACGACACCAAACTTGGAGGAGTTGTGGACTCAGATGAGGGTGGAAAGGCCTTGCAGAGAGATCTGGACAGATTGGAGAGCTGGGCGATCACCAACCCCATGAAATTTAACAAAAGCAAGTGCCAGGTCCTGCACCTGGGACGGGGCAACCCTGGCTATACATACAGACTGGGCGATGAGACGCTGGAGAGCAGCCCCGCAGAGAGGGAACTGGGGGTTGTGGTTGACAGCAAGTTGAATATGAGCCAGCAGTGTGCCCTGGCAGCCAGGAGGGCCAACAGTATCCTGGGGTGCATCAAGCACGGCATCGCTAGTAGGTCAAGGGAGGTGATTGTCCCGCTCTACTCTGTGCTGGTGCGGCCTCACCTCGAGTACTGCGTGCAGTTCTGGGCACCACAGTACAAAAAGGAGATGAAACTGTTGGAGAGTGTCCAGAGGAGGGCAATGAAGATGGTGAAGGGCCTAGAGGGGAAGACACATGAAGAGCGGCTGAGGGCACTGGGCCTGTTCAGCCTGGAGAAGAGGAGGCTGAGGGGGGACCTCATTGCTGTCTACAACTTCCTCGGGAGGGGGAGAGGAGAGGCAGGTGACCTGTTCTCTGTAAACACCAGTGATAGGACCCTCGGGAATAGTGTTAAACTGAGGCAGGGGATGTTTAGGCTGGACATCAGGAAGAGGTTCTTCACCGAGAGGTTGGTTGCACACTGGAACAGGCTCCCCAGGGACGTAGTCACTGCACCGAGCCTGTCTGAATTTAAAAAGCGTTTGGACTGTGCACTTAGTCACATGGTCTAAACTTTTGGGCAGACCTGTGCGGTGCTAGGAGTTGGACTTGATGATCCTTATGGGTCGCTTCCAACTCGGGATGTTCTATGATTCTAATTCGCAAACACAAGGTTCAGCCTTGCTTCTCCACAGTGTTTATATCTGGGAATATCATTTTGTCTCCACACCTTGCTGGGTAATTAAAGGTTTATGAAATTTTATGCTGACGGGAGCTTTTAAAGTACACAGAGTTCCTTGCACTTCCTTCCTCGGAAGCAAACACGCCCTTACTGATAGGACGCTTCGCTGCGCACTGCTCTGCCGCCGAGGGGAGCCGAGGGTCTCCTGGGACGGGGCTAAGGACCCGCGGGCTGGGCTCACCCCTCGCGGCCGCACCGCAGGAACGCGGGCTGCCCTTGCACACGACTGTCACACGGCTGGTACGCGGTTGTCACACGGCTGTCACACACACACGGGGCTGTCAGGGCCGCCCGGGGGCGGGCCGGGGCGGGCGGTGCTGCCCAGCCCCGGGGCGGCCCCGCCGAGCTCGGCAGCAGCAGGAAGGGCCGGGCCGGGCCGCTATGGCCGGTGAGGAACGGGAGGGAAGGGAAGGGGCTGGGGAAGGGGCTGGGGCTTCGGCCGGGCGGAGCACGGGGTGGGGGGCGCCGCCGCTCGCAGCGCAGCCCCGCGCCGGGCTGTGCTGGGTCATGCTGGGCTGTGCTGGGCTGTACTGGGTCGTACTGGGCGCCCTGTTTTTGCCCCGTTTTTGCCCTGTACCTCTCCGTGCCGACCTGCTTCTGGGCTGCGCGTTTGTTTACCTGCCGCTGCGCGATCGGTCCCCGGCGCTGTCGGGTCCTAAAAACTTGAGATCCCGAGGCCGAGCCGCCCCCGGGTTTAATTTAATTCCGCGAGCCAAAACCAGCTCGTGAGTCACCGGGACGTGTGCGGCTGCTGGGCAGGGGCGGGCCGTGCGCGGCCGCGCTGCACAAGCCGGGGGCCGCGGGAGGTGCTCGCTGCACGCCGCGGGGCCACACCGAGGCCGCCTGTTCCCAGCTCCATGTCAAGGTTTTGCTCCGGCACTTGGAGCAGGGAGCTTGCCTTGCAGTGCTGGCATGCGTTCTGCAGGTTTTACGGAGGGATGCGTGAGTTGTGCTGAGGGTTAGAGTCAGCAAATGGGATCAGGCGTGTGTGTGAAATTAAGCATATGTGTTTCTCCACCAAAAGCAGCGGGGCTGTAATGTATGTGGGCAAAAGAATTCCTCAGGGCAGAGTCACTTCCATACCAGATTTCATGCTACAGCAGGCCGGCTGTGCAGTGCGCGATGACTGAAAGAAATCTGTCACTTACACCTGGTCCCAGCCTTCTGCTCAGTGAGACTGTGTCTCTGCACCTGCAGGACGAGCTCTCCTGGTTACTTAAGAGCCCAATTACTTATTTTTCATATGAAGGTTGAAGGAACACGTAAAATAATGCCACGTTCAAGTATAAAGAGCATTTTAACACTTCTTTATCTTCTATTTTTAAAAGATATAAAGATAAGTTGTTGAAGTTGCTGTCATAGGCACTTTACCTTGTGGTAGCAGTGGTGGCCTTGTGTAAGTGAAGCTTGGGAGAGAGGCAAGCTGTCTTCCAGCTCAATATCACCGCTTCCAGACCAGAGGAGCAGACTAGTCCCTCCTCATCACGGGTACATATGGTAATCAGTCTGATTTATAATCTGGGTCCACTTCTCTGCAGCCAGATTCCCCGTGAAATCCTCAGCATGCCTTTCTTAGGCCCTTGAAAGGGGAAAGCCAACAACTAAATTAGAGTAAAAACTAACATTTCATTGATTTTTCAGCTCTTTGCTGAGATGCTTTAACAGGGAGTTTGCATAGATACATGCTATTAGTTGGACCCACACCTTGAGGTTTTAATTGTCAGATTGCCTTTGTGAGGTTTATGAAAATGTTTGAGCAAGTTTTACAGGAAGTTGCAACTCGTGTTTACATTACCTAGCAGATACCATTAAGTTTCTAGAACTGATGTTCACAAATTATGTGTGTTGTTATGAAGAACAGGAGAGATGTATTGGGGTTTTGTGTCTGTTGCATTTAAATTTTTCTGCTTTATCTTGTCTGTTTGCTTGGTAAATTGAAGGAGGCTTTTAATGGCAAACCAAACAGAACACAGTACCATAATAAAGATATAGTGGTGTAAGAGACAGTATCGTGAGTCCTTATGTAAATATTGGTGGAGGTGTTCATTGGAAATGCCTACCTGCCTGGCTTCAGGCAGCTGGCAGTGTTCAGGCTCCCTGGGCCCCTGCATGGATTAGAGCACAGAGCACAGTTAAGTGGCACATTGCTGTGAGGAATGGCTGACCACAGGCATACAAATTTGAAATTCAGCCGCGGGGTTTTGTTTGTTTGTTTGTTTTACAGTGTTAAACGTAGGTGGCAATCCAAAATGCGATGTAAGGATGGCATGGCCACGGGGCCACGTGTTTTTTATCTGAAAGGGCAGCAAAAGTAGGTTATGAAAGAGAGTACACAAGGGGGGTGGAAGCAAAAATCCAGTTTGCTCTGTCCCATTTGTTGTTCCTTATGTACAAAACAATGTGGGGTCTTCTAAGGAAAGAATAATTAAGCAGAATAAAAATTACAAAGCAGTTTTTGACAGCGACCTGATAGCGACACGTTTGTGTTGTCAGTGCCAGCAGCTAGCAACACCATTTGGGGGGTGTTAAAATGTCTGGCCATGCCATGGCACTGTAGCTGTGGTCAAGTTCCGTGGTTTTGCTGCTTCAGGCTTCTGGGCAAGCACCAGCCAATAATGAGATGGTCCTTGCAATGCTTGGTCCTTGCAATGCTGCGGTGGCTTCTGCTTAAAAACAGTCACCTTGGCATAGAGATTTAAGATTTTCTTTCCAATAGCTGTTGCCTCTTTGAGGCAGTGAGATAAAGGGTGGGGATGTGAAATGTCCCAGACCACCAGCTCCTGGATTCATAGAACCTGAAAATGTGTAGGTAGTTTCACTGCAGGTGTGAAGCTAGCTGCTTTGGGCTTCTTTTATTTAAAAATGTAAGTGAAGGGTGCGTTCAGTACTGACAAGCATTGGTGAGACTGCTGTAGAGCACTGCCATGTTGGGGCAGAACATGGCGGGTCACTGGGCCGCTGTGCTACAGCAGGGCCCAGCTGGCTGCCCCGGGCAGGGCCCAGTGGCCTGGGGACACGCTGCCACTGGTGTCTGCTGGTGGCACTGGTGGGGACAGGAGGTGGCTGGGACAGGCCTGGGCACACTGGGCCACAGAGCAGCATGTGAGGTTTGGAATGCATGTGTGTGCTTTCCAGATAGCCTTATCACCTCAGGGCAGGGTGCCACGTCCCAGCCACTAGCATCGGTGGGGTTTTGATGGTGTGGAATTTATTATTGTTATTTATTTAATTTAGCAGCTGGAGCACAGTTCTGCACTGGTGGGTGGCCTCCGTGGGCATTCTCTTTCCTGGTCTACCAGGAGCTTGAACACTGCCATTGCTCCTGTGGGCTGAGCAGAGACTTCTCGGCGTCCCAGGAGAGCTGAGGGGCTTCAGAAGAAGCAAGGGAGATGCTGGAGGTTACTTCTTGGTGTTGAACTGGTGTTGAGCTCAATAACCTCTCTCCAGAACATTTTAAACCTTGCACCCAGTCCTACATCCTGAAGTGAGGTGGTTTGGAGGTGATGGTACAGGTGGGTGAAGCATCTTTGTGGGGCAGGAAGCAGGCCGCTTCAGAGGTAACTCTTGGAAATGGAGCGGCCCATGGGACTGGAAAAACATCCTGCAGGCACCTGAGCCAGGGTTTGTCCTTGGCAAGCACAGATAGCAATGTCTGCTAAGAGCGTTGTCTTGCTCTCTCCTCAAGCATTTTGTCTTAAACAGGAGGAAAATGGAGCCACTCCTGAAATCTCAGTGAGGTTTACACTATGTAATGTAATCTGCGGTGCGCAAGTGTGCAGGTTGCAGATGGCAGCAAAGAGCCTTTGATAAGACTGATGATGGTTCAGTGAGCGTGTGTAAATGAAAAGCACTGTGAGGACATGGAGTGCACCTGAGTGCTCAGAAAATGATCTCAGCTTAAATGTGATCATCAGCTGGTCACAATTAACTTCACAGGTGTAATTGCTTCTGATAGACTTCCTTGTGCTGCCTGCATGGGAATCTGTGCTGACGAGGCAGTAACGGGGCATGTGGGAACCAGAAGAGATGATACTTCAATGCTGTTTTTATTTTACTAACTAGTATATATCCTGTTTGTTAGATCTTTGCCTGTCTTTTAGCACTTGTTGTCATTTGTTATTGAATGTCAAGGTGTTATTTGAAGTTTAATTGCTCTACTAGCTTGTAACCCCAGGTTCAAAATGTGTTTTTGTAAGCAAGCAGAATGTACAGAGTTGTTTGTGATGCTCAGAGACACTTCAGATCATGTAGCTAAGGCAGAGGAAGGAGGAGGAATCTGTCCTCACTGGGTGGCAGGGAGGAAGCGGGTGACATGGCACCTCATTCCCCAAAACCTATTGGCACAGACAGACAACTTGATGGTACCCTGGTGCCTGAGGCCCTGTTCGTGTTATGTCCCAGTCCTCCCTGAGCCTGTTGCACATCCAGATGAGTGGATTTGAAGAGGAGAAGTTTAATTTCAGTCCTTTTGTTAGCGCAACAAAACAGATTTGCTCAGCAAATATGTCAGTGCACCGTGTTTCTAACAGCACACTGTAAGTCTGCCTTGGAAGAGAGAAGTGGGAAGGCTAGGAATTAGAAACATATGAAAATAATGTGTTTGTAATAAAAAGTAAGAATGTGACTCCAGTTCTGTTTTGCCTGTGGAATGCCGCTCTGTGCAGTATCAATAGCTGTGTTTTTGTTTGAGCAGGAGTGGCACTGGCAGCAGAGAAGTTGTTACTGCACAGTGATCACACTGGGAGGTTTTCCTGAGCTCTTTCCTGCAAATGCTGTTAGTATTATACAAAAACAGGAAAAGGACAGTGTAATTAAAAAATAAAAAAAAAAGAAAAAAAGACAACTATGAAAGAGCAAGGGCTGTGCATAGGCACAGTGCATCATGCATTCGTTTTCTGGCTTTCTCCTTAATTCTTCTGTTTGTCTTCTCTAAATCACAGGGCACAGAGAAGTGATGATGGTGTGTTTTCTGGTAGCCAAAATACCATAAAACCTGTGCATGTGCTTTAAGCAGGGGGAAGGTACTGTGCTTTTTTTCCTTTTCTTTCCTTTTTTTTTCTTCCTGTGCTGCTCGGGTGTCATGCACTCAACTTTAGCAGTTTACATCGACCAGTGGACTTGGTAGAGCACACTTGTGCAGGTCAGACATCTTAACACTTCAAACATTGTCACAGATGTTCTGTTTCTAAATCTGATAAGGGTGCAGTAACCTGTGGAACCTGCCTGAACTTGTGTCTGTATTTTAGTATGGGCAATACACACTAATAGCTATAGGGAAAGCTATGCTCTAAGAGTGAAACTCCTGCAAAAGCCATTGCTGTCAAATTGGAAATGGTGCCTAAAACAACAGCAAGTGTGGATTTGTGTATTTGCAGAGGTCTGTATTAATATAAAAAGGTGTTTTATTGGAATGAGTATTCGAGTGTACACACACAGTGTCACAGTAAAAAAAAATAAATAATAAAGTTACTGCTTTTTGAATTCTCTTTCTCCCCTCTCCTGGGTGAGGTGGAATGCAAGGATTCCTTCTTTAAAAAAATTCATGGCCCTTTAACAGAGATTTGCTCCCAATGTTCCAGTTTTGTTTCAGTCTGGGCAGTTTATGCTGGGCACATGGCTGGCTTCTCCTGTTAGACAAAAGGCAGCACTAAACCCTTGGCAGGTTGGGTGACATTGGTGCCAAGTTGTCTCAGCCCTGTTGTGACTGTCTGGGCGAGCTTCCCTGCACCCCGTCCTGTACCGCCAGCCGCTGTCATCATCGGGTCCTAAGCAGCAGGCAAAGACCAGCACTGCTCTGTGTATTGTTATCAGCTGCGTACGTCCTTTGAAGCCAAATTTAAGTCCTTTTACTGTGCTATGTAATAGAGAACATCTATGAAACACATTTACAGAAAAGTTAGTTTAAGATGTTATTTTTAAGCTCTGTAATCTGACTTTGTATTTATAAATGGCAGAAAATGTTCAGTGATTTCACAATATTAGGACCGGATGGATGCTCTCAATATGATTAGATATCGGATAGTGCTTGACATCCAAATAATTTAGAGCCTTTTCCTTTTGGAAAGAGAGGGCAGTACCAGTGACTAGCCAGGGGGTCAGGCTTGTGTAATTTTAATGGACAGGTCTTTGAAAGCATGTGGCTGTGTTACATATCCCTGATAGATAGTTTGGCTTTCAAAACTTATGTGATGGTAATAATTCTATTTTATGCATTTAACCACTGTTAGGAAAGTGAAATGTACAGGACTTAAAAATAGTTTGCTTACTGTGATTTTGCTTACTGTGATATTACTTACTGTGTCTTGTTCTTTGTGTTATTTTATTCTTAGATCAGTCGTATTGTCAGCGGCTACAACATGACATGTATTTTCTTACAAGCAATAGCCGACTGAATGAGCAAGTGGTTGATAAAATTATCCTTCAGCTTAATAGAGTCTACCCCCAAATTCTCACCGATACAGAAGCAGAAAAGGTAACTTAATGAATTTTATTATATCTCTGAATGTTGCATTGTTTTTCTGAGTGCTGTCTAGTGAGCCTTTCACACTAAAAAGCCCACATTCTTCAATATCTGCCTAGGCGTTCTTTCTCATCTTAATTTGCACTTATATTAGCAGTTCTTTCTGTAGTATTTCAGCACTTCGGGGATTAACAAATGTATCTTCAAACAGTGAAGTGCCAAGAAAACTTCTGTGTTAAGAAAATTCTATCCCTATTTTTCTCAATATAATACCCTCTGTTTTCTGTTGGTAGCAGCTCAAAGACTAGGTCAGGTACATGTGAGCTGAGTTGCTTCTTCACCTCATTGCTGTCTTCTATAATTGTTGGGGCTGAGAAATGGATGGAGTTAGTAACATCTTCAGGAGGTGTAGCTGTACATGGAGGAAGGCCTCCTTGGGCTATTAAAAGTGGGTAGCTGTTTTTAGGGAGAAAGATCTTTTAAACCTGTGTAGGCTGAAAGGCAGTTAAAAGCTGCCCAGATCCTCATTGTAACAGCTTGTACTTGCCCTCTACTGATTGCATTGTCTGCAGAAGGCTCAGAGTTTTGGCACATGAGTAGTTCTGCAATAAGAAAGCATAGATCTAATTCTTTCTCAGTCAAACTTTATGGGGATAAATAGTGATTTGGTGGTGGAGAACAGCGCTACGTCATCAGCTGAGCCAATCCAGCCATCAAGTTACAACAATCAGTATCATGTGCACAATTAAAGATGGTCTAATTTCCTCAAGGTCTTCAAAATAAATGAAAAAGGAATTTATGGGTTTTTTTTTTGATTGATTTCTACACTTAGCAAATAGTAACGAGCTACTTTCATGTAGGTCCAGGCAAGTTTCTGTCATCTCTGAGTGTTTAGGAAGCTTACCATTCCTGATGTATCTATTTGACCTTGTGGAAATTTTGCCAGAATAAGGAGTGTTATATCAGATGCATTGTATTCCCATCCCCCTAGAGAATGAATTGATCCTAACTAAATGTACTGCAAATATTATCTACTGTACTGGTATGAAATCTAATGCTTTGCTGAGAATGACTTTGGACACTTTCCAAATAAGCTGAGATCAGTCTGATGTGTGTAAGGTACACATTTTCATTTTTCTTTGTAAGGTCTTCTAATATTCATCACAGTTTTAGAGTACAGAAAAAAAGAGCTTTCTTCTGCAGCTGCTTGCCATCGTGCCTGAGTAATGAGAATTCATAAATGCTGCACTGGGTATGCAGCAGTTCTGGAAGCAATGAGATGTGTAATCTTGGGATGATGAACACTCCAGTATTGGGACTAATATAAGTAGTATAAAATACCTTTTTGGGTGATCACTGCTAGGTATCTAAGGGAAAACCTGAAAACATGGCATTTGTTGGTATTTCCTATTTGCTGTCAGAATCAAATTGTGGAGTGGCAAGTACCACGTTAGTTTGAATACAGAGGAAACATCAAATGTGAAGTAGCTGTCACTTTATTGAGACAGGAAAAAAAAAAAAAGAAGGAAAGCAGAGGCAATATGCTCTCCAACAAGCAGTGCTGTCCAGATGGAGCTCAGGGTCTTAAAGAGTCCCAAGCATGTCCTTTTTAGGTTCCCCTAATTTTCTGGCCCATTGTTTTATCAAATGTAACATGAGCTTAATATCTTTATTTCTTGGCATATCGTGAAGTGATATAAGATTGTTCTCCAGCTGTTGTAGGTCTCTCTTCTGATGAGTGCTTTTCTCTTACAGTTCAGGAATCCAAAGGCATCGCTCCATACCAGGCTCTCATATCTGATAAAGCACCTTCAAAAGAAAGGAGACAGGCACTGTCAAGAATTTTACAGAGCTCTACAGATCAATGCTGAACAGCTGTATAATGACCTGCCAAGCAGGAAAATCTTGAGTAAGTTGATTTGTACTGTTGAATGAATTGTGGATTTCCTTATCCATGTATTATGAAATCTCATTTCAGATGATCTGTTCAGATTATTTACGTGTGTATATATATATATATTTAACGTAAGGATTTCATCTGACTGGAATTTTAAAAAAGCAGTAAGGGATTTTGATTGCATAGCTCTTCTTGTTGGTGGGTTTGGGATGTCAAAAAATATTTGATAACCTAGAAATATGAGCACTCATGCTTGAAACGTTTTAAGTGCTACATGTAAGACAGCAATATAGCTCATATGAGGGACAATTTCTCTCTTTGTAACATTGGCTCTTCATGGATTTTTTATTTCATCAGTGTTTACTCTTCTTCACAACAAGTCAGAGTATTAGAATAAAAAAACCTTCAATTTGTTAAGCTTAAAAACCCAGTGGCTAAGAAACTTGCCTTTCCCTCAATCTGTAAATCACCCAGTTGTGTCTACTTTAAGATGAAGCAAACACTGCTAAATCATGTTTCATCCATGTACCTTTGCAATGCTGAACTACAATATTAGTCACTTAGGGCTCATTTTGTGCATCTGGCATGCCTGATTGATGTCCATAAAACTGCCCACCAAAAATATCTATATGTATACATGGACATAGTCCAGAAGGACTGAAGCCCAAACTTCAGATTTGACACTACACTGCAAAGAAGCTAAGTTCTTTAAGGAAAAGTATCAAGCCTGAATCGCTGTATGTTGATTTTTCTTTTTTTTCCCTGCCTAGTGAACTGGAGAAAAGAACAATATTCAAAATGGATGGGAAATATGTTTAGGCCTCCAGCATGCCGAAATGACTTGAGCAGCTTGAGGGAAAGTTCCTGCATATGGGTTAGTGAAGGTGCAAAGGGACTGCAGTTTAAGAATTCCTTAAGAAATATCTAACAGTACTAATATCTAACAGTACTAATGCTTCACCAGTCAGTTGATTCCAGTTATAAAATCTCCACAGTTATGTGCCAGAGGAAGTTTTAGTAACGTGGGTCAAACACTATTTAGATTCAAACTGTTTCATCAAAAGTTCCTAAGTCTAAAGAAACAAAAGACCAACAAGTAAATCTACTCTTTCTCTTATTTCTGGAGTATGGCATGCAACTGGCAGAAAAAAAAAGCAGGCAAAATTGTAATCACCTTTTAAGGTACCTCATTGTCTAGTTTTGTTCAGCCTTCCTTTTTTGAAGGAAAAGGTTTGTGTCTGCGCAGCACAAACATAACAGCTGGTAGACTGCGCCACTTCACTGCCTGCACAGGAAGGCTGCAAAGCTCCCCCAGCTCTCCAAATCCTATACCCAAACTCCCTTGAACGGGCCCATCCCTGCCTCAGAATCTCAGCTGAACATGAATCCCTATTGATTCAGCCTTGCAGCAGATCTAAGGCAGTGCTTTTGATCTGCTATTCACCTTGCAGCTGCCATGCCCTTTCAGAGAACAGGCTCTTGAATCAAATAGTCTTCGATCTATCACTTTTATCTGAGGTAGAGGTGAAGGGCGACAGGTTTTCCTGCCAGGCTGACTAGAAGGCAGCAGACAGCCTTTAGTAATTAAGAGCAACTTAAGAAGTCTTAGTGTAGTCACTAAGAATATAATTTCAAGCGTGTATTGATGTTTTAAGAATTTAAACTCTGTTAACGTTCAATAACTCTTATCTTCTACAAGCTATTTCTGAACATGGCTCTTACCTTATCTGTACACGTTTGCCGAGGCCTGACTACATGCCCTATAGATGGTCTGAATTCAGCTGGGTACTAGAAACTGCACAGCTGTGCACAGGTTCATCAGTACCCATAAAACTCACGTGGGTAGGTGTGCAGATGTTGAACAGATGGCCCCTCACACTGCGTTGTGCTGTTGTCACACCTGGACAGACTAGCAGAGAGGAAGCTTTCACAGGGCCTCTGAGCAACTTTTTTTTGACTGTTAGCTAGAACATGAACATGCTCATCCCTGCCCCTTGGTTAATTCAGAGAGCTTTTCTCAAGGAGCCATGCAAGGTGAGGGCCTTCTCATGTTCAGACAGCGCATAACAAGTACATGTGCTAGGGCTGCGTCAAAGCAAAAATAGCTGCTTGGTTCTCCCAAGCTGTTTATCTGCAATTGCATTATGTAGAGGGACTCCCAGTAACAGTTGTAAGTCATTAATACCCTGTGTCTTGGTACAATCTTATGTCACCATCCTCAGAGCGATGAGAACAATTTAAATAACTGAGTTAAATCAGTACTACATGGTGAGATTGTGCAGTTTCCTTGTATTGACCCAAGGAGGAAGTAAGGTGATGAGAGTGTTTGCATTAATGTGTTTGCTGCTTCGTACGAGTTCTGTAACTAAAACAAATGTCTGTATTCTGGATTGAAAGGCTGAAAAACATCTGTGCAGTATATTGAGCTAAAACCACATATGATTTAATTCTTCAGAAAAAGCTACTTTTTCAGTATAAGCTACAATTTCTCATTTCTGTGAACTTGAATCATTTTGAATATTACAGGCATTATCCTTCAGACCTCCAACATGTGCAACGTTTATGTTACTCATAGGAGTAGTCAAAAACATATTCTACAAAGAGAACCTTTCAAAGACTTCTCTTTCATTACAAAAACAACTTCAGTATTTGTGCTAGAACAAGATTTCTTTTCTTTGCCTCGAGTATAATATTGCAAGTGAAATGTTTAGCAATGTCTCCTAATTCCCACTAGAGGGTGGAGAAGGCACACAACATGGACAAAGCTATTGAAGCCAAACAGGATTTCCATGTGACTCAGAAAATGGTTTTATTTCTCTCAAAGCTGACACGGATTAGAAAGATAAAGGATCAGCTCAGTTCAACCAAATGATAGCGTGGCAGAAGTGCAGAGTTGGCTGTGCTCTCCCGTGGAGTGCGGGGATTTCTTTACTAGAGTATCTAGAGAGGACGTCCCTCACAACAGGCAGGCTACGTAAGATTGCCATCGATGCAGAGTGCACCATGGAGGCTCTGCAGCAATCCTTTCTCCCCCAGTGTGACTCAAGCTCTGCAGCAAAGTGGTTCAGATGTTTCTGTTCTGCTTGAGTGCTGTGCTGTCACCCCCCCCCGAGAGGGATGTTTGTAACGTGGGAGATGAGCGTTCACTGTCTGGCCGAGGGCAGGTGTACAGGGCAGCTTTCCAGGACACCTCATGTAGCACCAAATTGTTGTGCAGGAGAACATCAGCTTAGACCTGTCTCAAATTCTGTCCTATTGACCATCAAATTTGAAACTCTGACTATGTGCCTTTTTAAAAACAAACAAACAACAACAACAAAAAAAAACCACTCTTGTCTACCAAGAAGTTTATGAAAGAAAAAAAAAATCAGCTGCAAATCTCTGCCCAAAGCAGAGGTGGAGGCTCTGCTTCACCTCGTCTCTGTGCATGAATATGCAAGAAATGGGCAAAGAATCAGTCTGGGCCTGTTCTAGTAAAACAAAGATGCTGCTTAGGTATTTTACTACACAACTGCTTTCTTAGTGTCCTCTCACCCATCCTGTTATGCTTTCAGACCATGTTTTTAGGAGAGCCTAAATGACTATTATTCGTCAAGCCCTTCCAAAAGCTGTTCTGCGGTTATCCCTGTATCTTACGTGTGCAGAGTGCTAACTTGGAGTAAACCTGCATGGGATGACTCTAAATCAAGGGAAAAAATAGCAACAGCACAACTTGCTTGTATTTCGGAAAAATAATTTTATAGCTGCTAACTCTTGACAATCTTGTCTTAAGGTCAACCTCCTTTTCAACTTGATTTTGAAAAAAAAAAAAATGCTACCTAGAGGCAAAAATTATTTGTGCCAGATGTTAGCTCAAAGCACCTACAGCTTTCAAAAAGAAGCTGTACAAGTATTTAGCTGAAAGCAGAATTTGGATAAATAATCTGTGCCAAGCAGTTCGTTCTGAGTGCTTCATCTGCCAGATATATTCAAGCATGGAGATTTACTCAAGAACAGACCAGAAAGGATAGTGCTACATTAAATCAGAGGGTTGTTTTCAGATTAGCACATACGTTGTTGGCTCACAAATATTTTGTATTTAGCACAATGAAAGATTCTGGCATTACGGAAGGATTAGCTCCTGCTTTTCTCACTTGGGAAACAATTTGAGTGTCGTAAAGTACTCATGTGCCAGTGGTTGTCAGTAGTTGTCCCTCACGTCTGAATGCCAGCGCGGCTACGTGTAATGTTACTTATGTGGCTAGAGCCTAACCAGAGCAGAGGTGTTGCTGCAACCATTTATAGCTATTTAAGTGCATTCAAATGACGGTGTAACTCTGTCTTCTGATCAAATTATATCCAGGTTTAACTATAGCAATGATTTATTTTGGGAGGGGCTAATACTTCCTGTCAAAAAATGATATTTTTCTGAAATGTGGTATTTTGCAGAATTTAGCATGTGCTGATTATGTTTGTGTGTTTGCTTGAGCTGAGTACTAACTTGTGATGTATTGCTTTTATTTCTAGAAACCACAGATTCCACAGAGATAGACACTGACATGGAGAAATGTATGCTAAATGACAGGGGTAAATAAACGCATACAGTGTCACTTTATGGAATGGCTTTTCAGATTATGATGCAATTTATTTTATCACGTAACTTGCATTTCATGTAACAAATTGGTTGTTTTATGATATCTTTACTGTCACCGTTTAAATGGAATTAATGGAGGAAAGCATACTGAGCTGCTGTTGAGGAAAACAGTGCCAGGAAATTCAAGAGACCATAGAGTTTAATCAATATTCACAATGGTATTTTACTTGCTTTGTTTTAGCTAAACTCTTCATTTCCTATGATTTGTTCAGGGCTTGAATAGGAAGGGCTATTCAGCTGCTGCTGCTGTGGCTTTGCACAAGGCCATCAATTTTTCTGTATAGCTTTCAAATTTTTTGATTTTTTTAAAGCTTTCAATTTAAGTGCAAATCATTTAAAAAGAAAGACAGGAAAATAAGCAAGGATGAACTTAACTATATTTTCCTTAGGGAAACGTGTTTTTTTCCTCTTGCTTTTTTTGATGCCCAGATTACAGAGAGGCATATATTTTTTATTCACAGAAAGATATTTTGGAAAGAAATTGAAGAGCTGAAGAAACTGAAAGAAAGATGAATTTTTTGAAATTCATAATGAACTCGTATTATTTAAGTTTTAGTTGATGTTTTATATAGAAATTTGCATTCAATTATGGGATATTAAAAGCACCTTATATGAAATGTGCTTTTTTGGCAGTTTCCCTCCTAAGAGAAGACTGAAACAAAGGGCAGAAACACAGTTTAGTTCGACGTATATTTGTATGTCACTTCTTTGAATATTTAACCAATTTGCTGTTCAGGATTTTGTTCACACTGCTATTGCTGATTGCAGCATAATAGGAAGATCAGACAAGGTTCTCAGAAATAAGAAAGTGAAATAATTTCTCTTCTTCCTCACGCTGATGAAAGAGCCAACATCAGACTGGAGTTTGTTCAGCTGCTAGTGACCCTCTTAGGGAGGTTACATCTGAAAGAGCAACCAAGTCATTGCTCCACTGCTGTTTCTTTAATGTCCACAGTCCATGTGATTGGCTCCCACTGATTTGTTAGTCTAGCGTACGTTTTTCCTTAAATTGATAGGAGCAGTTTAATTCATAGGGAAGTCATAAATATAAATAGAATATTAGATGATAAAGAAGCTGATATAAATCTTTGTGAGGCTTTTGTATATGGATAAGTATGAATTAGAAAGGTTTTATTGAACATCAGCATTAAGCTGCATGTAATTCCAGGCAGACGCATTAAAGCAGTGTTTCCAGTGAGAGGTTTGAGGTATGCAGTGTGGCTCTGTACTTCAGAATTGTAAACAGGAACAAGAATATTTGCTTTTGTTATGAAAGCGTAATTTGTGAATAGCTGTATATATAATTACATGCAGTCCCTTCCTGCTACATTTTATATGAATGTGTGCATAGATGCTATTAAAATAAATGAGACATACAGCTACAGGAATAAAGTAAGTCCTGTGTACTAGTTGCAATCAAGGAAACTGAACTGATGGCTGGCACTGAACGGGCTTCTGGCATTGGTTCTGTTTTCCTTCTTTAGCATTAGTTATTTTTACAGGGCCTGATTCTGCACAGCTTCTTACAAAAAGATGACTTTGCATGATTGAACCCAGTGGAACTTGAGCGTGCTGCCTCCACAGCAGGATTCAGGGAGAGTAGCAGTTTGTTTAGGGAAAAAGGAGATAGGCACAAGGCAAAAAACGGGATAAAACAAAGCCCTGCTTGTAAGGGACTGCAATCTCATGTGCTGTATTTTCTCAGTACTCTTACCCCATGGGCAGTACATTGACCCAATGGAGTAAAACACTACATTATGTGGGTGAGGTCCCAGTAATCTGGTTAGCATTTTGTTGTAGCGTTTAAAGGTGTTTTTGCTAAGTTTCATACTAAGAAAACACCTAAGGAAGCTCTCGCTTTAGTTTAGTAGAATACAGTTATGTGAACAGAGGCAAACGGTGAATGGTGTCAAAGCAACTAGTAAAAATTAATTATGGTGTAGTAGATGTACTTCGTAGTATGTTAGGTACAGCACATACATAATTGTGAATGTGCTAGCTTCATTTGAATACACTTAGTTATGCATATTAAAAGCAATTGATGATTTAGGAACTGAGATAAACTTCCACTGCTCTGCTCTGCCCTAATGGGTTCCCTTTTTTGTTTTCTCTAGGTCCAGTAGTTTTTCCTCGCTTGTTTTAGTGTGGCTGCAGGATTTGCATTGTTTTGGTATTGCTCTCACTCAGGTAATGTACCTCGGTGTTTTTTCTCTCTTTTGCCTTACTTTAGCACGTGACTGGGGAGAGCGGTGTGCTTCTTGATCTAACATGGATTACTTAATAGAGCGGGTCAAGGTGTCATCATTCATTAATGAGGTTAGGATACAAATTGCACTTCAGACATGCCGAGGTATAAATAATGGATAGGTTGCCTACAGAAGATGCCGCAAGTAGGGGCCCTTTTTAAAGGCAGCAGCCATGTGAGCTCCTGTTGCTATAGCAATGGGTCATGATTCCCAGCAGCCATGAGGCAGAGGCAGGAAAGCAGCCCCAAACCTCCTGGCTCCCACACCTTCTGGAGCTGTTGAAGCACAACCGGTTCCAGGGCTGTGGGTCTCTGCTTGATTGCTGAGCCCAAACAGCTACAGCATCACCTCTGCTGCTGGCTCTGGGTTTTGCTCTCCCTGCTGTCTGCTCCATAGCAGCTGGCAGTGCAGGGCAGGTACCTGCTCGGCTTCCCAGCCCTGCCTCTGCTCTCCCAGCGCTGCTGTGAGGGTGGCGACCCTTAGCAGGAAGGGCACTGGCATGTCCCAGTGGGTCAGCTGCAGGGAACCAGCGAGTCAGCACCAGCAGGAGCGGGCAGCTGGCTCAGCAGGATTGCTTCCTCTTGGCCTTCACGTGCTGCGGGAAGTGCCATCTCTACAGGGTAGGTGGGGATCAGAGCCCAAACTTCATTTTGGATTAGTGCCTTCTGGTCCTTACACCCTGGTCACAGCAGTCATATTTGGGCATTGTCATTTTCTTTTTTTTTTTTTTTTTCTGGAGCTGTGGGCTGCTGTCCCTGATCTGTAGCACAGGCTCTTGGATGTTTCGGGTGATGTCTGGGCTGTTACACTTCGCTCCCAGATCAGTCCCTCAGCTGGACTTTCCACAGAGTCCGAGTTTAAGATTAACAGGGAAACATTAGACCTTTGAGGTTAACTCTTGTGCTTCCTTAGCTGCCATCACCTTCCTTCATTGGGTTCAGTCACCAGCATTTTACAGATGCATTTTCAGAAAATCATTCATGGACCAGTCAAAAAAACCAAAACAAACAGGATCCATCACGTCCCTTGATCCCAGTTAATTGTCCAGAGTATCAGAAGTGTGTATCTTACAAAGTTGTTTTCAGCTCCAGCTGAAAATTTATTATTCCTTTCAGATTAGAGCCCTTAATCCCTTGTTTCTGTACCAATTGACACTTCATGTGGTCTCCCTGTGGAGGTGCTGGTGCCTCGATGACTTGAGCGACTCTGTAAAATAAGCTGCTAAAGCTCTCCAAGTCTTTTTTCCAAGGCTCTTTTATCCCGTTCTTGTTACTCTTTTGTATCTGTGCCGTGTCTCAATGTCCCCTGTGTAACAGGACCACCAGACCTGCATGTGACATTCCACACTCACACCACCCTTATATCCAAGGCCATGCTCAGGTGCAAAACTGCCTCCTTACCTAGCTCAGTAACCTCCTATTTGTGTGCCTGGGACTACAGCAGTCCTCACATTCATCATTATCCTGTCTTGGCTGTTGATGCATACAATATTGAAGGAAACAGGCTTTCCTCTAGAGTAATTTTTGTATTGATTTTTATTTTTCCTAGATGCTGCGCACTAGCTAGAATGAAATTTAACTGTGTTCATGTTCTCTCTTTCCTCCCATCTTCATTTCTGTTTTAGATACAAAAGTCATAGGAAGAGCCAGGAGAATCTTGGGCTTTTCTCCTATTATCATAGGAAGACATGTTAGAAATATTTGTATGTTGTATTTGGAAGACATATCAAGAAATTAAGGAAAAGCTGCCTCTTCACTCAGACATCTGTACAGTGTATCTGCCAAGGGAAGACAACGGTGCATGAATATTAATGTACTATACTCTCATACCAAAGATTTTATTAACTAGCTTCATCAATAATTGTGTTGCCTGAAGATGTATTCAGAATTTCAGCTATATATGTCCTTCCTTATGGGAATGGACCATTTATTTTTGTAAATGCTTATTTTAAAATATTTATCATTTGGATAAAAGTATTTTTAATACAAGCTATAAAATTATATCCTAACTGATCATGGGTCTTAAGCCATATTTTGCATATATGTTTTTTGTACTGGAATGAAGGAACATAACTGTTTAAAGAATGCTACACTGTCTTTTATGATAATTAATTTAAGAAAAGCACTTAAAAACACACCACACACTCAAAGCCTTACTAAGAAATGGATTTCCATCTCTGGATTGTCTGTTTTGTCTAGATCCTTTATCCTTACTACCTGAGCTCAGGTGGGCACTGGTACCTACAGAGCTTTTCAGTGCCAGTTACCTTTGTGTATGCCTAATCCTTGCCATGTTTTCTAATCCCGTTTGTGCCTCACCACACCTGCCTTGTTCGTGCTCATGTTGAGCTGTTCATCATAGTTTGAATGCACTGGAACTCCTGCAGGCTAGTGCCCAGCCCGTGGAGGGTCCTGGGGACTGGAATGTCTGATCTGAAGCACTTGAAACTACTAAGATTTTTCAGAGTTAGCTTTGTCTGTACCAGTGAAGTGTTTTGGGGACTGTACATCCAAGAAACTGGAGTAATCCATAGTATTTTGCAGGGACTTAGTATTGTGACTTTTTTAATGGCCAGAAATGTGTATATGTACTTGAAGAGCCTGCGATTGTTCATAATGTTGTTTTATGTGTTTTTCGTCTAGAAGATGAAACCTGAAAAACCTGTAGAACCCATTTTCAGCATACAAACAGAGTAAAACAAAAATTCTTGAAGGAGGTTCAGGGAGTCAGGGCTGCAAATGAAGCATCTGGGTTTTCTTAGCTTTGGAAACCTAACCAAGCTCCTGCCTAGCTCAGTACAAATGGTTGTGAGAAGTGACATTATCAGTGGGTAGTTCTTCCATGGCCTGTTCAAGTACATGAGGAACCTGGGGTGACTGTTTCCCTGTATTTGGTGAGAAAGATACTTTGGGGCTCCTCTTTCACTGGAATGCAACTTCCAAATCAAATTGAAAGCCGATAGAATTTCACATGGGATCCTTCAGTGCATGGTAACTTGTGATGTTGCTGCAACTTATTCAAGTGACTGAGCTTTTGGATAAATGAAGTCATTTGAAGTGGATGTCTCAAAACATCCAGACCAAAGATTGTCTTCCAGCTTTAAACTTTATGCTATAAAAATGCCATCATATTCTCCAGGGCAAATTATCTTGTAGTAACTGTATTTCTTTCCAGCACAATACTCACCAGATGTTGTAGCAGGGGTGTATTCCAGAGGAGGAAGTGGGTACAGGGCCAAATTTCTAAATAAAAGACCCATGGAGTATTTTCAGGAAATGTCTGAGTGATGAAAAAGGGCTCAAAGCCCCCCAGTTTTTACTGTTGTGAGGGAATGTTTTAACCTAGTACTTTGCAGTGACTGAGGCACGAGCCAACCTCAAGTAAGAGTAGCCACAGTCTGCAGTAGGCAAAATCTTGACAGTGCATCCTGATGGTCATCACTGCTGTGACTGTAGCTCACCTGAAAACACCCAGGTGAAATGAAATGGGCTGCAGCCTGGTTGTGGTACTGCTGCAAGCATACTGCAAGTCAGCACCAGCTACCTGGCTAAGCATTCCTTCTGACCCTCTGGGGACAGGTAAACCAAGCTGAGCTCCTGGCTGCGGGGTTTCTGCTGCTGCCGGCACCTGAAGCAGCTGCTCTGGAGCTGGCCTGGATATTTTTACACAGCTGCAGCCACTCCTTTGCAGAGCTGGCATGTCAGTAACAGCTCCCCTGGGGTAACCGTGCGGCTCTCAGCAGAGCAGTGGTTTGTGTAGACAGACATACCCCAAGATCAGCAGCGGGCCACGGGATGTTATAAACACTTAATGGCCTGATTGGTGCAGCGTAAAATCTGAAATGATACAAATACCAGGCAAACAAAATAACACCCAGCAGAGCAGTTTATTTCGACTTCTTTTCCCCTGCCTGCCATCCCACCATCTCTTGTGTCTACTCAATCTAATCTCCATGGGGAATCTTATTAGGAAGAGAACAGTGACAGAGCTGAGTGTTTCCTATAGCGTTGCAGGACAGCTCTGCTTTGGGCACACCGCGAGGCTCTGCTGCCCGTGTTACACCACGAGCTGTTGCTGTGCTGCCTTCCATCTTGGGAAGGGCTTTATTAAGGTCTGTTGTTTCCACTGTGCCTTGCCTTCTGTTAAAAGTGACAACAGGTGGATTTTCTCTAGCAAACCGTCTCTGATTTATAGCATTTGGAATGATTTGTTACTCTCCCCACTCCTGATTAAATCCTATATCAACCCCTTTTTAAGGGACTAGAAAAAATACTTCTGACCTCCAAGGAGGCTTTAAATCCTTGCCTTGAAGCCAACTTCGAAACCTCATTAGAAGAAGCGTATTCCATTTTGCATGAAAAACATTGTTCGAAATAATGGCAACAGTCACACCTCATTTTAAAGCAAAACCAGAGGTCTCATTGCTGCTAGGCAGATTCCTTCTGCTTAGGTCATTTACCATGTTACCCTTAGAATAACAGGTTGCAAATTGTTGTGATCTGTTACTGACACCTGCAGAAGCTGTCGGTGCCTTGCTTAACCTGAAGGTGAGACCCTGCTGTGCTTGCTGGTTCGAGGGTGCCCAGCAATGCCAGGAGCCCTCCCAAGTCCAAACTACCCCAGGAGTACAGCAGCTGTGCAGCAGCACATGGTCCTCCCAGATCATTACACCAAGGGGCTTTCTTGAGCCTCTGAAACCATAGGGAGTAGGAAGGCTTACTGAAGGCTCTGGCTGTATTTCTTTCTGAGGTTGCTTGAGATAAAGATGCCTCTCAGGAAAAAAATTCCAGGACAAGCTATCCCCAGGGCTAGGGCTGGGAGGAGGGAGGAAAAACAAGCTCAGATTCATCCCATTGTTGTTGGTGACAGGACCTGACAGCAAAGAATGGAAAATAATCTGTTCCTTTATCAGTGCTAGTTTTTAATTTAAAAAGTGAGGGTAGCTATAAAGCTGTCGTGTGCAGAGGCTTGTGCAATATGCAGTCTCCAGAGAAAGCAATGACTAGGCTCCTTTCCTTCCCTTTCCCTGCACCATCATAGTCCTTAAAAAGGCTTAAAGAAGTTGGGCAGAACTTCAGTGGGTGTTTTGTACTTCTCTGGGGTAGAACAGAGCATTGCAGGCGAGCCTGTTGGGAGACATTCTTTTTCTCTGAAAGTTTTTCTTTCAGGAACAAATGCCAAGGTTTAATACGCTTCTCCACAAGTGTGTCTGTGCAGCAAACGCAGACAAATGAAGTGATAATTCTGTATTTGGGTCCTAGAGGAAGCACGTATATACCTGCTTGGGAGTCAGGTCCTTCTAGGCAGGCAGTGTTATTTACTTCAAAATAAATTCGGTAGGGTTCTGGACGAGCCTGCCAGCTGCAAATTTTCAGCTTCCCTGTCGAGAACAGCTTGGCATTTATGGCTGAAGATGCACTGATGCTGAGGAGCACGCCTAGCTGCCTGTGCAGGGAACTTGGCCTGGCTGTGTGCAATTCAGTAGGTGGCTGAGCGTGCAGAGGATGGAGGCCGTTCTTGTCAATGCCATGATAAACATACACTAGTCACAGAGGAGCTAATAAAAAGCAGCCATATTTTCCACTTACCTTGTCTCACCTTGTGCTACTCTGGTTGAAGCAGAAAAATGTTTGCATTAGCAGCATCAAGGGCTAAGGCGCCAAGCAGCTATGAGGTCAGCGGTCCTCATCTGGAGGGCTGAACACAGTGCTCAGGGAAAAGATGGTCAAGGTGAAGAGTGGCCACCGAAGTGTGGGAGTGTGCAGGATATCAAGCAGCACCAGCATGTGCTGTGCTGTGCGGCCCTGCCTCCTGCAAGGCTGATACCTAGCCAAAAGTCATCATTCTTCCCTGCTTTTTCACGTGAAGGGGCTTTCTGATTTTAAGTAAAGCTGAACTCTGATTGTCCTGTCCGTAGTGCCTGGGGTCCCTAGGTTCCAGCAGGAGAGCTAGGTGGTGTTGCAGCCCCTGAGCAGCGAGCAGGCTGCTGGCCCCAGCCCCCTGAATGGCTGAGGCAGGCTGGTTGGGCCGTCTGCTTCTGAAGGGCTGGGAAGCGAAGTGACAGATCATACTGTGAATTTGCACAGCTCCATTTAAAGACAGCCTGCTATTTAAAGTACTTCAGTGGAGGATGGTGTGCCTGCAAGTGAGAGCTATAATGAAGTGATGATTCACTCCAGGGCATGCAGGGCTACTTGATAGCTGTTGCCTGCAGTGTTGGAAGCTGCTGAGGCAAAGTTACCTTTCTTCCTTCTTTCATTTGTGATTTTTTTTTTCTCATACTGTAATAAATTAAAAACATTAAAACATTTGGTCAACGACTGCCGTTGTGGATGCTTTTCACTGCTGTTGTGCATACACAAACATTAGCCCAGAAAAATGACTTGCCTTAACTGTGTAATCAGCATTGCTGTTACACAAAGTAATGAAAACAGTTTGCTGCACTTCACAGGGTCAGTCTTTGTAATCATTTATCCTCACATATGTTTTCTTTAATTCTATACAAATTAATGGCATTTTTTTTTGTAACGGGATGAAGCTGGTAATTAAATTGTAATAAAATCTGTACTGAGAGAAAAGTGCTGCTGTGTATGGTGTGTGATACTCTTTGCTGCCCTCTCAGAAGTGCTCCTTGACACCTTGCCCTCATGGCAGCAGTCTGCTGAATCCTGCTCTCCGATGGCTAATATTTGCTCTTGGCCATTTGTGGCAAGATTTTTAATGTTACCAGCTGGTTTCAAAGTTCTTTGCCTAACCTGCTGTGCTATCTGAAATCAAACTCGATACATGTCCAAAACCTGGTGTCTCGTGGTGAGGCCCTGGCTTGGTGTCGTTCGGACAGCCCCAGTGAATCCTCCTCACCTGCAGGGGCTTGCGTGGGGCCTACAGCCACTCTGCAGAAAGTGACTCAGGACACACACTGAACGTGAGGGTTGTCTTCACCCCACAAAAAGGGACTTGAGGTGGCATGAACATGCAGACTGATTTGTTACTGGCCTGTTCTGTTGTGTGAGCTTTAAAGAGGATCTTGGTCAAGGTAAGCAATGATGGACAAGAGTGATCTAGTTGAGCAGTTTCCCTCCCTTGGAAAGAAGGTCTCCGCCCCTACAAGGGAGGCCTTGTGCCTGGCATGAGCAGAAGGGAGCGTCACCAAGCTTTTCTCACAGGACATCACCACGGCTTGGACGTGTGTGAGAAACCATCACAGCTGCCTGCTGCAGGGGGTGGCCCACTGCACCCGGGTCTGCAGCTCTGCAGCAGCTGTGGTGCTGAAGGAGCCAGCAGCATTTGCACTGTGGGCTGGCGTGATTTTATGGGAAGGACAGGATGGGGCCCTGCCTTGCGTGTGCAGAAGAGCATTTCAGGTGAGTCCTGAGCTGCCCTTTCTACTTCAGTGCACAGGCCGCGTTAGGCTGTGGTTGCAGGAAAAAGCTTTCTTACATTTTGGTGCTGATAAATGTTTAATGCCATCGTGCCCAGTAAAGCAAAAACTTCTCAGCACTGGGCCGTGCCTCGCCAGCTGCTGATGAGGGAGGCAGCTGTGAGCTGCTGCAGACACGGCACCGCGGCGGCCTCCAGCCCCTGGGCACAGCATGGCCATGCGTGTGCATGCAGGTTGGGCATACCAAGTGTGAGTCCTCTCATTCATCTCCAGCAGGAAAATATTCTGACACTGTCAGATGTTGGTTATCTTTAAACACCAGGTTCCACAGCCTGTGGCCCCAGCTCCAGCTGTCCTGTCCCTTCGCTGCAGCCACCGCCTGTCCCACTGTCCACTGGTGGCCCAACTCGCCGACAGAGGGAGAGAGCCCTAAGATGAGTCTTTCCGCTGTCTGTGCTGAGATAATTCACTTAAAGGTCTTCTAGCAGAGGTCGAAAACAGGATGCCTGAACAGCTCAGCTACTTGTGACCAGTGATGGGTGCAGACAGCTGGGTCATGCTGCTCCTCTCTGTGGAGGAAAAAATAAAATCCCACTGGGGCTGAGATCTGCAAGCCCACTAGGAGCTGAGCAGCGTGCTGTCCGGGGAGCTTTGAAAGGCGCCTCAGCTCCCAAGGCTGCCAGGGGGTCCAAGCCCTGTGCCCTGCTCTCCCTCCTGTCCTGCAGCTGCTCCCCAGGTGCAGGGAGTGTTTCTGCCTCCACTTCTCTTCTCTTGGTGGCCATTTGCTGCTGGCCAGTGCTACCGCCCAGCTCTCTGCTGCCCACAGGGTCACAGGCTGTCCCACTGCAGTACAAAGCAAGTATCTTTCCTGGTGCAGGTGTCTCACAGCTATCAGAGATCTGTTAAGAAGGGTCCCAAGGTCAAAGTGGGCTCTGGATGGTTTCAGGGGGAGAGAGGAGGGAAAACTCTGCTACGGGGAACAGTGATCCATGTCCTGTACCAATGCCCAGGCTGCTGGCACAGGAAACAGGGGCACAAGCAAGGCTGGGGCTGCAACGAGCAGCAGGGACCAGGGCCAGTGCTGCTCTCACACTTATTCCTGCACACACAGAAAGGAAAACCTGGCATCCACTGGCAACCAAACACTTTAGTTTGAGGTTGTTCTGTGGGTAAGCAGTGAGGTGCAGTTGCAGCCTCTGGAGGCTGGAAGAGGCTTGTCTTCTCTTGGAGGTGCCAGCTGTGTCTCTGGAGCTGGCTTGGGCTCAGTCCAATCTATCATCTCATCCTGACAAGAAGCAGGAAGGGACAAAGATGCTTTGTGGCATCTGGGATCCAAATTCAACGTCCAGTCATAACAGGTAAACTGACTGGCTAACAGCATTTTAAAAATCGCTGTTGTTTCATAGGAAAAACTTGCAAACCTATGTTTCACTGTGTCCCCAGGCTGAAAGGCAGGGAGCTCTGTGGGACACACATGAAGCCTGTCTGGACTAGCACACAGTTGTTACAAGAAGCAGACATGTAGGAAGGAAATTTCTCACTTGGAGCTGAGAGACATTCCACCCTTGGACGAGCATAGACCAGTCCCAACCCTGAAACAGCAGCAAGACTTGCTCTTCCATTGCACCCTGCATCTGGAAACAAATGGCACATACACATTAAGCAAAACAGTGACACCAGGCTTAAAGCTGCCAGCATCTTGATTCGATAACCACGGTCCTGACGACCAGTGATGTTCTCCAGAGATGGTGTGTGATGAGACCTGCCGCTGGGCTCTCCTACCTGATCTGTATCAGCATGGGAAAAAAAAAAAAAAAAAAGAGTTTTTACAGAGCATGAAGACACCTGGTAAAGCAGACTATGGAACAACACAGGCCTGTCATAGCTCGCTCTCACTGATCCATGCAGTGCCTTTGACACAACTTGATTTTGTTACAGTCACATTCCCAGCGTTTGCCTCTCCAAGACTGGCAGAGGCCGGTGACTGAATGCAGCCTCCTGGCTCACACAGCCAGGCATGGGAAAATCCATAAATCCTGCTCCAGGGTGAGGGTGAGCTGCTCTCTCCCTCTGTAGCTTTCACAGTTCCGGCACAAATCTGAAACCTAAGTCCTTTCCAACAGTTTAAATTATTTCATCCCTCATGCCAAACAATTGGGGTAGTGATGAAACCAACTTACTCTCAAATATTTTTGGCACCAGGGCAAATGGCTGGCAATGTTGTAGGAGTTCTGGCTAGGCTCTTTGCATCATGGCCGCAGAGTTACAACTCTTTTCCTGAATAATTAAAACTCTGCTTGCTGATAAAGCCCAGCTCACCCTTTGTGGGATGTGCAGCACCCATGCCCGCTGGGGAGCCGTGCTGCAGCACGCTGCTCTGGTGCCAGCACCAGGGTGCTTCAGGGCGCTGGGCCCAGCTGGCAGCAGCGGCATGGGCAGGGCTGGAAGTCGCCCTGCTTGTTTGGGTGCTGTGCTGCTCCTGTGGAGCTGTGAGAGCAGCCAGGCTGCTGCACAGTGTGCGTTACGAAGTAATGCCCGGCAAGAAAGAGCCACGGAAACAGATCTTTACTTCAGCGGTCTGAGGAGAAGGAAGAAAGTGAGTTTGGATGAATCTGCTGCATCCAACAGCAGGGAAGGTAATTTTTTTTGTCATTCCCACACAGCACCCTGTGTTGGACCAGAGCTTGTTATGTATTCCTCTTTAAAAGGCTGTGTTCCATGTCATCCCGTGTTTACCACAGCGCTTGCCGCAGTGACTTCTGGCTCCCCCTCCTGACACACATGTGATAGCCAGGAGCCGTTAGAAATGGCGGGTTGGGGCTGTGTGTGTGTTTGGCACAGAACGAAGAATCCAAGCAGCCTGAAAACATGAGTTCCCCCAGGAAGAGCAGCCTTTCAATACCACACCACCATTCTCGCCCCGCGGGCCCAGCTCTGGTGCCTGCTCTCTGCCAGTGACAGGGAGCAACCTGACGGTGCAACCAGGGGCACAGTGACACAACACCCAGCCTCGGCCGAAAGCCTTCTCTGAGATCCTGCTGTGCCCATGCCACAACTTATCTCCGCATCAAGCACTTTCTGTCATTTGTATTAAGCTATTTCTGGCTCTCATAGTTTCTTCTCTGAGCTGTGGCCTCTGAGCCTGGCCCTTTGATCTCCTACAAGCACCAAGGGCACCGTGGTGGGGGCTTCCCCTGAAGGTGCTGGGATTGGCTCCACCTGCCCTGCTCGTTGTATAGCTCAGCTGCCATCAGGGCTCCCTTCCTTTCCCCTGAGGGGATGTGTGGTGTGGGATCCCTGGAGGATGGCTGGAGAGGCAAAAGCCAAGGGCAGGGGAGATGGGACATAGACAACAGTGGAAGGAAGCAGCTGGGGGGGAGAAAAAGGACTCTGGAGTCTCTTGCTGGAGAAAGATCTGACTGTGCTTTCCCCCTTGTGGTGGGGGATGAAGCTCTGGTTTGAGTTTGCATGTCCCACAAGAAGTGAAGCTGCGACCAGATGCTGCTAATGGGAGCACACAGAGGATGTGCCAGACACCCACAGGTGAGTCCTGCAGGGGGGTGATGTGCTTCTGAGCTCAGTGTGGTAACCAGCGGGTGAGGCACCAGGCCCTGGGGTGGGCTGCCGAGCCATGGTGCCCGCAGTCCCTGGCCCAGCAGCACAGAGCGTGCACCCCCTGACACCAGCGCTGCTCCCAGCCTGTGCATCCCGTGCCATGCAGCCCTTAGGCTGGGCAGGCACCTGTCTTTGTCATTGTTCTTCCATGGCACACGGGACCTAGCTCTGTGTGTGGAAAGTGGTGTGTAAGGGTGGTGCAGGTGGCACTGTCTCTGCTGGGAGTGTCACTTGGCTGGGCTGGGCCATCCTGCCTTGCTGCTGGCCCTGGGCCTTCCCACCCCGTCTGTGCCTGCAGGGACATGGCACTCAGTCAGGGTGCTTTGGGACACAGGGAGCTTTTCTGCCATTTGGGGGCTTCAAAGTGGTTATTTAGCTTATTAGTAGCCCTGAGATGGGAGTTTTTGTTGAGACTTTTGGCCATGGTGCTTAGCAGTGTCGTGTGTGAAAACTGGCATTGAAATGAAGTGCTGAGATGTTATTTCATAAATGAGGACTTATTCTTGTTTCCCATCACTGAATGAGCTGTCTGTCAGAATACACACACTGTCCTCTGGGGTAGCTCCTTGAGGCACACGGCTGTT